GAGAAACAACGCAGCGTGGGGATTGCAGTGCCCGGTGATAAATCTGCCCTCCTGCCATATTCAATCACACACAGTGACACTGGCGAAACACAAAGTGTTTACACAATCACAAACACACACTTTAGTCCTGCATCAGGTTTTAGGTCCCTGGGCCATAATGTTGCCACATCACTGTGCTCAGTATAATATCTGTAAATTATTAAGTATCTACGTGGATTCAGAAACGTGCATTATTCTGACTGGAGAGTGGAATGTCAGTAGTTTGGCACTTGTTGTCTGTCACAGGTCCTGTGGTGAAAAAAGGCATCAAGCTCCAAGTTAACTCTCAGTTTGTAGTAAATGTGAGTAAACTCGACTGCATCAAACACAGACAACTTTATTTAAAGGACTTTTTTACGGAGCAGTGCTTTCCGACTGCAGTAACCATGAAAGAAATCTGAATTGTTTTAGGATCAGAGTGTGTCTTACCCAGCTGCAGGATTTCTCCTCAGTCCTGGTGGTTTATAATCGGACCTTAAACAACTTTAGTCCTGCTGGTTCTGACTGATGAAGAGCAGCAGCAGAACGTAGTAAGTAACAAACCACAGCAGGTTTAACAGGTCAATGACATCTGAATAAACTCTGTATGTGTTTGTATGTACATTTGAGTCGGAGTAAACACACACGTCACGTCATCATCTGCTGTTATTTTCTAAAACCACACGTATCATTTCACTGACTTCCACACAAAAAAGGAATTGAAAGACAGTTAGAGAAGCACGTCCTCAAAGCTGCAGGGCCTTGGTGAGATGGACGGTACGGAACACAACTGACAGCGTCTGTGTGTGTGTGAGTGAGTGTGTGTGAGTGTGTGTGAGTGGGGGGAGGGGCCTGACAGGCATGTTATATGTCAGCCCCAGTGCTGCACGCAACAGTGTGCGCATGAGATGTGGAATAAAGGTCACAGCACAGCACTCTGCCTGAGCTGTGACCTTGAGCTGCTGACGAAGGCCCGCACGCACGCACACACACGCACGCACACACGTGTGTGTGTGCGTGTTTAATAACCATGCTTAGTGAACAGATGGAGCTTAGAGTAGCAGACATACAGTCATCATGACTGACTGGCCAGCTCTGGTGTGTGCGTGTCTCTCTTTCTAACAAGTGTATCACTGGACACAGAAAGAGAAATCCCTGACTTCACCACACACACACACACACACACACACACACAGACTACTCCTCTAGATAGGGCTATCCTATTTCTCCAGGCACATTGGCCATCCCATTCAAGACCACACTATCCCAAGTGTGTGTGTGTGTGTGTGTGTGTGTGTGTGTGTGTGTGTGGGTAAGGACAGGGCTGCCAGGCCTGCAGCTACAGTCAGGGTTGTACATGTGCTGAGTCCAGGCTGGACCAGACCTCGTCAGTCTACCTGACATCTAGGTCAACAATGGTGGGGTGTGTGTGTGTGTGTGTGTGTGATGGTTAAATGTAAAAAAAAAACAAAATAAAAAAAATAACACAACATAACTCTGTCCTGGTTGTAGAGTGGGCTGGGTGGGTGTAGTAGAGTGGGCTGGGTGGGTGTAGTAGAGTGGGGGGGGGGTTAGTGTGGTCAAGAATGGAAGAGGAAAGAGACCATATCTGTGTGTGTGGCCACAGGGATACTATTGTGTGTGAATGGGTCAGTGGAGAAAGGGGGCTTTGAGCAACAAAACAAGCTAATGGAAGCCAAAGACACGTGACATAGGCAGCAGTTACACACACACACACACACACACACACACACACACACAATGTTAGCATGAAAACTGCTAACCTCTTCCCACTAACCCACCCCTCCTCCTCCTCCTCCTCATCTCCTTTGCTCGAGATCCTAGACTCTCTCTCTCCTGAGATTTTTTTGCTTGTTTTCCCACTTCATTCCACTTAGTATTTTCCCTTCCCCCCCAATCCCCTAATCACCCTCAAGCCTTTGCCTCCCTCTCGATGTCTCCGTCTATTCCAAACTGTGCGTCTCTCTGGACATCCAGCTCAACAACATTAACTACAGATACGACACCCCTGAAGAGGATGAGTGAGACAGACAGGCAGGCAGACAGACAGGCAGGTAGACAGACAGACAGACAGACAGACAGACAGACAGGCAGAGGGAGAGAGCGGAAACAGAGGAGACGGGGAGAAAGGAGAGACAGGAAGGGAGGTTTCCTCTACATATGAGGGGGGTGAAGATGTGGGAGCAAGAGGGAGGAAAGATTATGCTGGTGGCGCCTCTGTGTGTGTGTGTATTGCACACGTGTCTCAGTTCACAGGAAGCAAACAGCTGCAAAAATCTATTCCCCCTCACTCACACACACACACGGAAACGCAACCACACACAAAGCCGACAGATGAAACAGAAAAGCAAAAAAGAACACACACACAAAAAACCCCAAAACATCAGTGGCCAACTACACTGCTGTGTTTTCAAATGTCATGTACACACAAACACACACTTCCCCTCACTCACGTCCCCCCACCTACATGAAAAACAACAATGAGATGAAATATATCCACACACAAAAAACTAAATGCTTGATCTCGTCTCTCTCTCACACACACACACACACACACACGTGTGTGTGTTAAAGCCACATCAAACCGTTTGTTTCACTCACACTCACCTGTATGTGAGGCACTTTCTGTGGAGTAACAGGGGGTGAGGACAGAGGATGGGACGCTGCAGGCGTGGGCGCCCATGGGTTCGATCCCTGCTTGGGTTGAGGAGTTGTGCTCTGCAGGTGGTGCGGGGGCAGGTGTGTGTGCTGTGTTTGAGCGTTCTGGGTGGGCAGAGATAAGCCCTGGTTTGAGGCTGGCGCTCCGTGCTGACTGACAGGCGGGCCCTGGAAACCCATTGGGGCGGGCTGCAGGGGCTGCCCGTTCCTGGGTGCCTGCTGTTGTGCTTGGAGCAAGCGCTGGTCTCCCCCCTGGTTCACGGGAGCTTCGTGAGGTCCTGGGAGAAAACGGGGATCAAACATGATTCACAGACTGCGTTACAACCATGTTGAACTCCTGTCAACTTCTCTTTTGTAAACACGGCCGTTTGAGTGCCACAAAAACAAACGAAATCAAACCACAGAAGAGAAAAGACAGCGGTTTTTACCTTGTTGCTGGAGCTGAGACCTGTTTGGACCCATTTGTTGAGCATGCTGAGGGCCCATACCAGGATACATCTGTCCAGCACTGGAGGCCATGTTGTGGGGCTGCTGGTGTTGAGGGTGTGGGGCCGATACAGCGTTTGGAGGAGTTCTCTGCGGAAGGGGCATAGGATTAGGGGAAGACTGCAGGGCCGTGTAACCCACAACCTCTGACAGCCCTGCGCTCGGAGGTCTGCCCTGCTGAGGAGGGGGTGTCGGAGTGCCCATCACTCTCATTGGGGACATAGATGCTGGGGAGGGGTAGGATCCCTGAGCTGGGGGTGCAAGGTGAGACTGGGCCTGATTTTGAGGCTGGGACACGTTCTGGGGGTGTTGGGCATGGTTTAAAGGGTGCATTGGCTGGCTCTGCTGCCCCGCCTGCTGCTGCATAGGGGTAGAATGAGTAGGAAGGGGCTGCGGTTGGAGAGGGGCTGCAGGGGGGTATCGTTGCCCCTGCTGCCCTGCTGCTGGGACTGATCCTTGGTTGAATCTCTGACCGAGCTGCCCTGGTCCCATGGACTGGCTGGTGTTGGAGCTCACACTGTTGGTGGCGCTCTGGGCCATCCCCGGCCCAAGGGCTCCATACTGGGCCTGAAAACCTGGATATTGGCCTCCACCAAACCCTCCTATGCCCTGTTGGTGCTGGTGGGAATGTGGAGGTTGTCGGGATGGGGAGTGTGGATATCGCGGTGTGTGGCCCATGTTGGAATAGCCCTGGGCCTGTGGCTGGGGCTGTGGGTGTCTCATTTGAGCTCCTCCCATTCCGATGTGTCCCAGGTAGTGAGAGGGGTCCTGAGCAGGGGGATGTGCCATGCTCTGCTGAGGGTAGTGTTGGTTCATGCGTGCTGAATTGGGTGCGGGTGGTCCTTGCATCGCACCATAGTTGCCTTGAGGCATTTGGTAGCCGCCCATCTGATTGGGGTTGGCCCCTGGTTGTGTTGGAGGCTGCTGATACGCTGATCTGGTCTGCTGCTGCTGCTGCTGGCCCCAAACTCCACCACCTCCTCCTGCTGCTGCTGCTGCTGATCCTCCAGCATCACCTGGGTATCCATGATGGGGGTTGCTAGCATTAGCTGGGTTATTACTGTAGTGGGAAACCATGCCATTCATAGTGGGATTTACATTTTGGGGCCCCTGACTGGGACCATTCTGGGCCAACATTCTTCCTGCAGGGGCACCAGATTGATCATAGCTTGTGTAAGGGCTGTGGTCATACATTTGGCCCAATTTAGGCTGCCCTGGGCCATTCCCAGCACCATGGATCATCCCCTGGTGGTAACCCCTGTTTCCTTGGTGCTCATGGTTAAGAGAGGGATTAATCTGCTGAGCTAGAGAGTTGGCCTGGCCCGGGGCAGGCTGCTGAGGAAAGCAACCTCCTAAACCATCTAATCCATCTGAGAACAGCCCTGCATCGTCCCCAAATAGACTCAACATCCCTGGGTCCGCCATGGGTCGGTGGGGGCCCCACAGATGGAAGGGACAAGATGGAGGTAGGGGTTGCGCAGTGAGGAGCTAGCTGCTAAATTGTAGCCTCCGTGGTCCTCATTACAGATCCTAAAAACAAAACAAAACAGAAAGTAAGGTTTAAAGGATTATATCAAAATGTTTTTGAAGAAAAAACGGAGGTGAAATCAACTACAATCAGTTTTTAGCCATTAATGCGTCGTAACATTTTTAAAAACTCCACACACCCCAAAACACGTAATTCATAATAATGGTGCCTCTGTACCCTCCCCCACCACCATTTTACCACCAAACAAAAGAACTTCTTTTACAACACACACTTGGTGTGTGTGTGTGTGTGTGTGTGTGTGTGTGTGTGTGTGCCTGTGTGTGTTAGAACAAAGGGCCCAGCAGATGCAACTCTGTTTGAACAGCAGCAGCTGCCTTCAGCCAGCCAACAACCAGCCTGCCAGCCCACAGTCCAGAGAGGTTTTCCATTAGTTTCTGGGTCTGCAGAACCTTTAGTGGACGGACTAGTCCCTGAGGACGACGGAGAAGAGACGCAAGAGTTGGTTATCCAATTCTGAAAAGTATTAATATTAATTTTGGGTTTAAAAATGAAGTCTAAAACAACTTTATAGGCAAAAAGAAATTCACAGATGTGCTGGAATGAGAATGGACTACATTATTTTTTTAGAATGATTGACAGCTGGATTCACTGAAAACTACTTGGTCCTAAAATGCGCAAAATAACTAAAATAAAAATTCAACACAACTCACACAAGTTCTCATGCAACAGGTAGGAAATTACACTCATTCAGCTAAAAAAAAATTTGTTTCTCGTTGCAAAATATTGTAGGACAGATGTACTTTTAAAAAAAGTCTGACTTTAATAAATATGTTAACACAAATATATATGAGCCATCTTAAACTGTGATGTTTTATCATATCTTTCTCATACTTTAACAACAAGGGTAACAGTCATTTTATTAACTGTATATCAATTGATATCACTACCATTATGTACTTACAGTCTATTACATTCTTCTAATTTCAAAGTTAAAGACTTTGTGCTGCCACAGCAACACAACAAAGCATGCGGAACAACTATGTTGTTCAGAGATGTTTGCCAGATAACAAAAAAAAAAAAAAAACTCTTTGAATTGTGGTGTTTGTTTTTGTAGACAACATTTGTTCTGTTTCCTGAGCTGTACTAGTAGAAGCTCAGGTTGCTAACATATGATGGGGGCATGAGCACTGTAAACAGGATGTTACCCCTTCACAGCACCGTTACCCACTCTTCTTTCCCTCAAAGAGCCATACCGGTCTGTTTTTAAAACTCCACTTTCAAATGAAAATGTAATATCAATGCAGCCCAGGTGCTAATTGAAAATACCTATTCAATAAGTCCCAGGTCAACATTAGCATGACATAGGACTTCTGTAAGTTACTTCCTGAAGACACTGGGTATGTGGTGCCTCTGGTCAAATCCTTTCTTGTTGTGCTAATAGTGGTCAACAATTGCATTCCCTCATCGTGTTACTTTTCCTACACATCTGGGGCTACTTTTACAATGACCATTAAAAAAACAAAACACTTTGTTCCAAGGTCTTTGTCCATTTATTCCATCCTGGTGTATGTTTTAAATTAAAAACAGTACCACTAAAAATGTCAAGCACTAACTTTTATATTAACCCCTTTTCTTCAGTGCAACATTTAGCTGATTTCTTGTCAAGTTACAAGAAATACAGTCTTGTTTCAGCAAAGGAAGACGTCCTTTCACCTTTGAAGCCAAATGCATTTAATGATAACAGTCAGGTCTTATTTATTTTAATGTTGTTGTGGACCTTAACACATGCAACACGCTGCAATGACTATGATTATAACAGCGACACATTACTGAGCCCTCTACTGACTGTACTGGTAGTAAGACAAAGAATCTCAGAATCTCCCAACATGTTTGCCATATGTGAAAGACAGGATGTGGGCAATGTCTGAACAAATTCTTGATACTATCACATGTAAAGTTATGTCATATGTTTGTACAGACGCACGCCTCATCAGGTCTTGTGTAACAAAATGTCAGATCTGACCAGAAGTATACTTAGACAAATTCAATTTATTTTTGTGGTCAACTTCACATTCCATGTTTTATACATGGCAATAAAAATAAAATGCATTTTCCAAATTTTCACCACTGGAAACAATTGTGACACAGCTGGTTTAGATATACTGCTAAACCAAGTAGCGCTTAAAATCTTGTACAAGCTGCAAAACTGACAAGACTGATAATCTGTGCACTCTGTGAACGTAAACTGCAATGAATATAAATAGGCCATATTCATCTATTTAATATAGCTGACCAATCACTGAATCACCTCAGGTAACTAATATAAGTGGTCCCTGGTTGATGTTCTTTAGTTTTTCATTCATTCATCCATTCATTTGAGTGTAGTAGTAACTTTTTTTCATGCAAATAATCAAATGCAAAAAAGATATACTTTTACAAATCACAAAATGGTTTTTGTAACCTTAGTATATGTCCCAAGTCCTTTTCTGGGACAGATGTGTGACACACATTCTTCCACCAATTAATTTCTTCACTATGGGAAGACAAATCTAAGTGTGAATGTTATCAAGAATAATCTCACATCCTTTGCTCCGTACTACAATTGAGCAAACCCATTTCCTGCCACTTTTACTATAAATTCTGTGAAAACAGCACCTACAATATACATGAACACGTGCTGGCCGTGCATTGTTTAGTCATGCTTTCATTGACGGCTGTCACTATAAACAAAATCATATAGATATCTTTCCAAAATATATTAATAAAGTACCAGTGAATCAGAGGTGACGACCACAGTGTAGTGAGAGTGAAGTGTTCTGTCGTTGTGTTGCATTAGATGTCAAACCTCAGAGGATAAGGCATGTGGCCAAACACACTGCTGCCCTCGCCACTGGTAGTAATCTACACGTGCTGAGAACTCCAGAGGAGGTAAGGCCGTATCATCCTATCATCTGCTGAGCCTTTACACTGGACAGACAGGATCGGATTTCGTTTTTTCACTGCAGCAACACACCCACACCAACACAAGCGGTTATATTTTGAGTTCGTGCTAACACCAGTGCGAACATGTCAACAACGTAACGATATCCAGTGAAACAGGAACGTCGCAAAGCTATCGTTGCAGGTAATTTGTACAAATTTGGAATGTAGGCGAGGTGAAGTAACAGATATGTCCTTAACATTAAGAAATGTATAGTATTTATATTAAAAAACCCACAACTTTTGTTAAACGAGTTTAACAACCAAGTGAGTAAAGGGTTTTAAACCCAGAGGACAGGACATAAAACTACAGTCCAAATGCTTTTCAACTTTCACGTGCAGTAAAAGTCCATGGAGTACAAAGACAGGAGGGTTACAGTTTTTACCTGTCTATCATGTGCTCCCAGGTTTTCTTATTGCCCCTCACAGCAAGATGAAGACCAACACCTGAACAATGATTATTGTCTATGCATATAACCTGTAATCACAGCAAGAACAACAAGACTAAACATGGTCTTGACCGACGCGAGCAATCCACTTTTATAAATCTGTAAATATGTGTCAATGTAGACATGAACATTGTAATATACAACAAATCATAACATTTATGTTCAGCTTCCTGAATGGAGGTGGAACCTCCTTATATGCAATGGTTCAATTTTTAAGGAAATAAAACTGACAGGACCTTGAACTGTAGGCTGCAACATAAAACTGTATAAAATATTTGTTTCTGTCCAACGTTGGTGACTGTATCTACTAACTTATCTACACATGTAGTTGTGACCATTTTGATCAGTGCACTGGCCATCACAGCAAAAAACAACAATTATAAGGAGCACTGGATTAGTCCTGCCTAAACCACAGCCAATCAGCACGATGTCAGTGCCTTTCTGCCCGCTGGCAGTCACTATAAATCATTGGTGTGTTTAGTCCAGAGATAAGGCAGCAAAGATAAACCTTGGTTATTCTAATATTTGTCCAGAGATAAGGCAGCAAAGATAAACTGTGGTTATTCTAATATTTTCAAAGTCACTTAGAACTCAGACCAGAGCATATTTTGAAAAAAAAAAATTTTTTAACTAAACGTCAACGTCACCAGATAACTAACCATCTAACTGAACCAATTCATGAACCAGAGCGACAAGTTTTTACCTTCCATTCCAAGCATCACTCAGTTTGTGAAACATAGCTGGAATTCTGAGCAGGATTCAGACGCCCTTCTACCCTTTAAATCAAATACATACAGCTATGAACATTAATTATGTTGAAAATCCCTAAAATCTGACCAATAGGAGACATCTCATCTCAGGAACCATGTCCACATTCCTAAACAAGCATGAATCATTTCTTTAGTCATGGATATTTTCTGGATTTCACTGTCCCAACACAGAAATGTTACTTTGTGTGCACTGTGTTGGGCTGTTGTATGGGGAGGAAGGAGGAAGAGCGATTAGTCAAAGAAGCCCTGTCTGTGCCGTCAACTCTGCCGGCTAAACTGTCTGTAGCCTCCAGGCTTTACAACAGGAAATCTCTGCCATGTCAACAACGCCATGTTTCCTTGGATGCAGGCGGGCGGGCAGGAATAAACAACACGAGCCAAAGGAGCAAACTGCAGCGAAAACTCAGCAGACACAACCAAAGTAGACACACAAAGTAAGTGATGTCCCTCTTCCTCTGGAGAACATGTGTGCACCCACCCACCTCCCATTACCACAAGGATTTAAGTCGCTATAATTTATACCTTTGTTCCCCAAATGAAGGACAGCACGCAGGAGCTGGCTAGCTGTGTGTGTAATTACGCTCAAGTGAGGGGATGCTGGGCCGTGTATTTGGGGCTGGGATTTGAGGCCCGGAAGGAAGGAAGAGAGGAGAGGAGAAAAAAGGGGGAGGGAGAAGGGGGGGAAAAAGAGAGAAGCAGTGAAGCTAGAGAAAATCTGGTTATTTTATGCACGGCTGCTTCATTAATGGACAGTGTGTGTGTGTGTGTGTGCGCGCACGCCTGGTGTGCATGTTGGGTAGGTGTGTGCATGTGTGAGTGCACATCGGAGGGGGAGGTGGGGAA